CCGTTCTCAGGTTCTATTCTGGAGGTGGTTTTTTTTTTTTTTCTCTTTTCGCTCTTTTGTTCTGATCCTTGCATCATTAGGAGATAAAGGCCAAAAAGCAGTGATTAAGCAAATCTAATGTAATTACCCTGAAATTTGCAACGCAGCTTCCCAGGAGAAGAAAACTCAGCTGATCTACAGAGGAGTTAAAGTTTCAGAGCAGAAAGAGGAATGTGTGTGGATGTGTGTGTATTGTACCGACATAATAATGCACATACATGCACGTGCATATTTTTTCATTGGCTTTTCACATCTGTGCAGCTCACCAACAAAAAAGTGATCTAGATCACATCCACGTTTTTAGTTTACAACCATTCCCCCACTCATTCATGCACACTCACATGCTCCACGTGTGTTTACACCTCCTGTGACAATAGAGCCTTTATTTTAAAGATCAAAGCAAATGGAGAAAGTGCCATTTAGGGCGTTTGATGGTTTAACTTGTTAGAAAACAGTTGCAGTGCCATTTGCATGGTTCTAAAGAGATGTACTTAATCTCTTCACTAATCATGACTGATTTACCAGATACTACACGAGAACAGATCTGGTCATGCAAGTGCAGTGTACGTGTTTTGTGCACCTGCCCATGTGATGCATATTACTGTTACTGTTACTGGGCTGAAACTCACAAAGACAATTGCGTCAAGCTTGGCGTCACTTTGCGTTGGGTGTAAGATAAGACACTTTGGGCCATAGATGGATTCGCCATAAGGAAAGAACAACGAACAAAATGAGTCCTATCATTTCCAAAAGAAAATATCAAAAGCCTGTTTTCTTTTCATATTTGAAGTGAAAAGTGCAACCATATGCTCGCGATCCGAACTGTAGAAAGGAGTTTAACATTTTAAATCCCATAATTTGATCCAGAACCCATATTTAAGCCATATAAAACGTCTATATCGACAAGGCAAGTGAAACATAAAGGGTAGAGTTCCTGCATATTAAAGGTTTTACTCATGGTCCATTTTTAACTCTGTTTGTCTCTCATCCTTGTTTTCCCACACTCTTTTTCTTCTGCACTTTGTCGCAGTCTGTCATTATATTGTAAAAGGCTTTTGAATATTTATTGAATGTACATGAAATACGGACCTAAAATGAAGAAGTGAGTAAAACATGACAAATGAAGAGTCATTCTCCTGGAATTCAAACAAATCCGGTTTTCTTCTGATTCACTGCTTTGACTCATTGCCTCTCTGCATCATGATACATCGTGTAAAACTCCTCTCCACCTCCAGCATAGTGTGACTTTGTCTTCTTCTCATTTTGCACAGATTGCATGGCCTGCCACCCCCTCTAAGAGGGATGAATGCAAGTGGGCAGGGAAAGACTATGTGGTAAGTCTACACTCATGATGGCATCACGATTTGAGCGCTTGCATTAAATTTCTCTGGAATTTGAGTTTTGTCAACAACACAAGATAGAAGTAATGGTCTGATCCCTGTAGAGAGGTGGGAAATTAGCTCAGATAAAAGTGATAGTAGCCATGTCTCATGTCACCTCTACCACACTGTAATCTCTGTGGACCATCCCCCACAGGCTCGCACAACTGAACACACACCGCAGCACAGATGTTCGGTCACACTGAAGTGTACGCAGCGTCTCAATGGCACATTACCTCAATGACGCATTACCTCAGAGGTTATTCGCCTCTGTGATGTACAATGTAATGTTGGGAGTATGTTGCCCGAGAGTGCACACACACACACACACACACATATATATGTATATATGTATATTTGGGAGTGCATTATTTGATCTCTCTTTATCTAGCATGATTTATTTGCTCACATGTGCAATTCAGCACAAATTTGCTGAACACGTACTATGTGCCACCAGGACGGTGTTAGTCTGTGTTATCTCTGTGTCGCTGTTTGCATAGGCCCTCTCTGTGTAGTATCTGATCTTAATTTCATGGCTGGATGAGTCTCGAGTGCAGCGGCTGCAGGTTTTAAGGATTACCCAGAATTACACTGTGCTTTTTTCAAATCGCAGAGGTTCCACCGGGGTCCAAACTCACCAGCGGCTTTTTCGGCTCCAGACACACAAACACTGAGTCGAGACCACACGAGGAACACTACACCTTCGCTGCCTCGCATGGTGGAAAAATAGTGGGCTCTGGCAGCACAAAATCACACAAAACACAGTGATGAGGTATTTGCGTGCTGTGAAAATGTTTACCCTTGAAAATGAGGCGGTGAGAGCAGAGATGGAGTGCAGCACGGGAGGCCTTGATTGGGACATTACTAAAGCATTCAGAGCTCCTAAATTGATGCATTTGTCCAAACCACACTTTACAGCCGCAGAACAAATGTAACAGCTGCCCCCTCCTCTCCAAAATGCCTGATGGCTGTATCATTCTGCTTGGCAGGATGAGTCTGTAACTTGGCCCAGGTTGTTGCGTTTCAGTGAACAAAGCGTTCGGATACTGAAGCGTGGCTTCACAGCTTTGCAGAACTGCCTGATGTCATTTCCGATTATTCGTCCAGCTATTACAGACGCTGAAGGGAAATTAACAGTTATCCTGCGTTTCCACTGAATTTTTCCAAATTCAATTAGATACCTCAGCATAATCTCAAAATTCACTCAACTCATCCAAATGTCTACAAACCACACACAAATCTGTCCGCCCATTTCTCCCATGGAAAGTCATCGTGAAAGAGCCCAAAGAGAGTCATTCATTTTATCCAATAATGACTCATTTATCCTCTGCGGCTGTTGTGGTTTTTTACATAATGACATGGTTTGTAAAGCCATTTTTTACCTGAGGCCAAGATCGAGCTGAATGTTTGAGTGACTTGAATAAGTAACGTCTGTCAGTGTTTAGGTGCAACCTACCTCCCACATAGCTAACGAGTCCAACTTGTAGAGAGCCGTGTAAAAATACTAAACAGAGCTGACGTCGGGGGTGAGGGTGGCTGGGGGGGGAGGGCGGTTATAGGAGCTTATGTGAAATGCATATAATAAGGGTGTGAGAATGATGTGGGGGGACATTTGTTCCCGCTGTTCGACAGTAGGGAAAACAGAGGGTAAAGTCGTTACGTTGACACAGTCTTCCAGAAACATGGACAGAGCTGAGGTTAGCCACAAGACATCGTGCAAGTTTAGTCTTCCTCTGTGAAATCAGCAGTAACAGTGTGGCTGAAGTGTGCAAACTGAGTTGAGACTGTGGGTTGTTGATAAGGTGCACACGTGAAACGTATTAAATCCTGCAGTTCAGCCCAGTCAGAAACTGCTATCATGCTAAAACCACGTATTACATGTAGTCCGACATACCTGAATTGACATTTGGATGAAATTAGGCGTATTCACTTTTTCGACGACAATAAGATGAGAAAATTGGGAGTGATTTCCAGTCTGTGCGCTAAATATGAAGCTAAAACCAGTAGTCAGTTAGCTTAGCTTAGCACAAAGCACAACTTCTGCTCTGGCTTCATATTACCTGTCCCAATTCAGGCTCACTTTCTTCCAAGTGCAGACCTCAAAGTCTGAACTGAGATGAGACACTCTGGTCTATGGAGGATTTCTGTCATTTGCGTTGTCCCGCCCTTACCGCTGACTTGGGAAACAGCTGCTCAGAGTACTGTCAGGAAAGTGGTTTCCATTTTCACATCTTACTCTCGGCTACAAAGTGCATTTCCCAAAATGTCCATTTTAAATATGTTTCTGCGGAGGAAAAACAGTAGGCGCAAAAGACAATTATTTCTACCTCTTTGAATAATAGCAGGGCATTTTATTTTTTGGGAAAAGTCAATTTTGTATTGCACTGGAAAATGTCATAACTGCAACCTGGAGCCTCGTATTCCATTTATGTCTCATGAGGGACATCATCAATTCGACAAACTGAAGCGTCTGTACTGTTCAGAGGCCTGAGGAGATATAGTGGTTGAGGGAAGGAAAAAAGTATTTGGCAGTCAGCATTTGATTTGATGTGTGTATGTGAGCGTTACTTTTCCAAATCCCCAAACAAATGTGTACTTGTTTGTTGGGTAGTTATTCAATATGTATTTATAATAAGGCAAACCACGACCTAATCTCTTAAACACATGTGCCCAAATCAACTCCTCAAGGCCGCTAATAACACCAACCAATCTCCTTGATTAGCGCTCTAATAAACAGTCTCACACCACTGGGATTATCAGCATGTGACGGAGAGCCAACCCAAATACCCACGGTAAATTGAAACACATGGATCATTAAAGATCTGAGATGGATTTGCTGATTTGACTTACAGGTGGGATTTCCTTGAATGAGACTCGGTTTCATACAGTTGTTCTTTTTTCTTTTCCAAACCAAGTGGAAAGTCCCTGCTTTGAATTCCAACAAAGCTTTTCTCTATTCACCGTTATTCTCTGCTTTCGATTTGTCTCCAGTTTCAGTTGAATCACATCTTTTTTTATGATAGGTGTCCGCTTTATTTTCATAAGGGGTAAAACCCTATTTAAACTTTATGATATGAAGGAGTGAATTGGCAGAGCAGGGGCTTCTGCTCACATAAGTCCTTTTGTAAAAAAAAAACCCAGAAATTTGCACACGAAATTAAAGTAAATCTCTTTACCAGCTGTATAAATGCATCCAAAAGTTGTGGTTTATATCTTTATTCTATGTTTATTTGTATTTTGCAGAAAGAGTGTTCTAACTACATTCGGGTCCTCCAACCGTACAACCAGACCCACATGTACATCTGTGGCACAGGAGCCTTCCACCCCATCTGTGCTTATCTGGAAATGGGCAAGAGAGCAGAGGTAAAGCATTGTGGTGACTTGATGTTAGCTCAGTCCAAATGTTGTGGGGTTTTAATTTATTATATATATGCGAAAGGTAATTTAGATTTCATTTGAGCATTCATTAAGAAGTCATGAAATGTGGCTATGGTAAAGTAATGAGACGGAAAGTCCAATATTGTTTCCCCTTAAAAAAAGATTTGTGCAACACAACTACACTAGTGTGATCACACACACACACACTTTTCTGTCAAGCGCAGCAGTGTTCGTTCCCCTCATTGATTATCTTCTCATCACTGTTTTCCTTTGTGTGAAGAAGTGGAAAAAAGTGGTCACTACACGGTTCGACTTCAGCCGTCGGAAATTAAACAACCTCTCCCCCACATAAAAGTTTAATCAGTCATCCTGATAGAGGTCTACAAGTGAATCAGTGTAACAGCGTGGGTTCTGTCGACGAACAATGGGGAGGGGATCGAGTGCTTGCACCATGCAGATTGTCCCTGCATGAGTTCTCTCGAGGTTAAACATGTGTAATTCTTGTAATTGAATTACTGAAAAGTGAATGATTTGGATCTCTTGTACCCTTTGTTTAAATTTATTCAAATACTCTTGAGATGATTTGTGCCTTTTCTTCTTAATTCTACTTTATTCCCCTTTGTGTAAATTGCACCACTGCTGACTCTGCTGTTCTCTGTAATCAAATAAATTAAGTTTCTGGCTGAAATTGTGGAGTAGCCCTTTCCAAAGGTATGAGGTACAAGCGGAATATGTTGTAATTTGAAACACAGGCTATATGTGTACCTTTAGGCTTAGTTTAGCTTTCTCTGGCCTTGTTTTGAACTCTGACCCGTTCCACCACAGGACAACATCTTTCGACTGGCGCCTCATTTTGAGAATGGCCGCGGGAAAAGCCCCTACGACCCCAGAATGCTCTCCGCCTCGCTCCTGATCGGTGAGTTTGACCCCTCCCTCGATTAGTTCCAGGAAATGTGCATTTGCCTCAGAGCCGATCATTTGTTCCTATAACTTTTACTTTTTCTCGTTGGCAGATGGGGAACTGTACTCTGGCACGTCTGCTGATTTCATGGGAAGGGACTTTGCAATTTTCCGTACGCTGGGAGATCATCATCCAATCAGGACAGAGCAGCATGATTCAAGATGGCTGAATGGTAATATTCAGAAATTGATTTTTCAAACGGAAGGAATCAATTTTCCTGTTTAATACAGCTGTTTGTGTTTGCCTAGAAATACAGATGTTTCCTGTGGTGTTGTTTAATGACAGCTGGATTTTGCAAAAAACGGAAGCTAGTAGGGTTCAGCCTGCAAAAACTATACAAACACCAACAAATGCCCATTTTCTGGACCCTGATATCCTACATACACCTCAAAATATTCCATACAATGGAAATAAGTTCTTGTCATTGGCCGGTTTTGGGAAAAAAAGAAAACCTCTGTGCGTTTCCAACAGATTTCAAAGCATCAAATTCTCTCACAAGCATCAAGTCTCCAGTCATTTCCGTTCATGTGCAGACATCAGATACCAGAGCCCATTCACAAAGTCACTGGACTTGTCTGTGCCAGTAAGATTAGCGCGGCGGTGAGAGTTATTGACCGCTCGGTCTGTCCGGCTATCAGTCGGCACCGCGGAGGACTCGGCGAGCCACAAAAGGTCAGTTTGAACCTTTCCCTCAAGCTGTGCCATCCCCCTTTTTTCCCCCATTCTTTCCCACAGAACTAATCCGCTCTCAGCTGTTTTCCTGTAGTGGAGTCAAATTCCTCTCAGTCCCCCCCTCAACAGCCTCCCCCACCACCACAAACACTGGCCTCTGTGGTGCAGACGACTGTGAAATATTAATAAAGAGCCATTTAAATAGGGAGAAGTCATCGCCGCCGCTTTAATCCCGATCGATCTTTCACCTTGTTCAAACAAATTCGCTGGGGGGGGTCGCATCCTTTTGACAAAATCTAACTCCACAAAAGAGGGATTGTAATTGCGTGGATTAGGGGATGGGGATATTCAGTTGAGCCTTTATCAACAAGGTTACATGGTGCTCACATGTGAGAAGAAAGAAACTGGGGAATGAATGCTTAATAGCAGCTGATTCTGAAAAGGGATTTAGGTTGAGATGGCAGGTTTGGCTTTGATCGCTCTGATTCATGAATTATATTTATATGTCTCTTCACCTTCTGATGCCCCCTCACTCACACGGAGGCTGGATTAAATCTCTTGATGAAGTGGCCTTGTGTTGGGAATCAAATGCAATGAATTGTACGACCACAGCAGTTGGCAGCGTGTTTTTGTACGTGAGCGCGTTGGGTTTATTAAAGTGAGTATTTTAATGGTACAAATTCCCAATAAAGGTATGAAGCATGTGTGGGGCACACATGATTCATGCCACAGGTCTCGCACCCGCACAGCGCTTATAAATCTGCTTCCCTCTTTGGCCACAATCTCCTTTTTCACAGCTACTCTATATCCTGAACGGCCACAGAGGCGTAACATGGCACTGCTTGTTTCTCTCCGGCTAACCCCCTAGCTTTTAGACACAGGCTCGATTTACGCGTGACGACGCCTCAGTGACTGTGGCCGCTCTCTCTCGGCCCTCGTGCCCCTCAGAGTCGAGGTTTTATCTCAGCCCTTAAGGCCTCGGCCTGCCCCGTTTAGCTTTTGATTTCCTCTCGTGCTTAAAGTTGAGATAAATTTATTCATGTGTTACCCGGGACAATCAGAGCCATGTGTGTTTGCAAGGATGTGGTCTAGAGACGGGGGTTATATGGGATTTGGACTTGGAGCGCTCACTTGGGGTAAAGTCAGATATTATAACACCGGGGTGTAAAGTAAATGGCTGTTATTACTGAGCCGTGACTGGAGAGAATCATGGGGGGATTGGTTTCTGAGGTGTAAAATAGGGGTGAAAGGTTCGTCATCGGGACAGAGGTTGGGATCATAAAATTACATTGGTGCATGAAGTAATGTATGATTTGGCTCCATTATGCACTGCGGAGAAAGTTATGCTGGTTTATTGATATTCCGTTCTTCCCCCAGACCCCAGGTTCGTCAGCGTACACTTGATCCCAGAGAGCGACAACCCTGAAGACGACAAGATCTTCCTGTTCTTCAAGGAGAACGCCATGGACGGAGAGCACACCGGGAAGGCCACCATCGCCAGGATAGGACAACTGTGTAAGGTAACAACACACACACAGCAAAATCCTCTCCAAGATGCTGTCTGTTACAGAAATGATGGCGTGAATGCTTACAGAAACATGTTGTTACAGAACGATATGGGAGGTCACAGGAGTTTGGTGAACAAGTGGACCACTTTCCTCAAGGCTCGGCTCATGTGTTCAGTCCCCGGGGTCAACGGCATTGATACGCACTTTGATGAACTACGTAAGCCTGCATTCTTTATTCGTGTGTAGAGAAAAGATCCTTTTCAAAAAGCTTCCGCTTCACCGGCTCTTTATTTTCTGTTTCCAGAGGATGTGTTTCTCATGAGTTCTAAGGACCCGAAGAATCCAGTCATCTACGCCGTATTCACCACATCCAGGTACTATTCCGTCCAGATCTTTTCACGATGACCTCTATCATCTGTGTGCGAGGGCTGGAATTCTCAGTTAGACACAGATGCTGGTAGTGCCATATTTGTTTTGTTGATTTGTTGCTAGGAGACTGGAAGGAGCTGATATGTATTCAATGTGCAAACCGTCCTGGACGAGTTATTTCCTCTGTGTTTAAAAAACACACACACACACACACTTCATATTTCCTTTTAAAGATTCTTCCTTTCATCAAATCCCTTTATCTGCTATTTCCTAACCATTTTAAATGATGCAGGAAAATGTGAGCGACCGAGTGTGCCTCTGTCGAATTCCCAGACAGTGCTCCCCCTTCCCATAATCCACTTACAGGTGTCTTACGGTTGCTTTCCCCCCCAACCCTTGAGATTGCTTTTAGCCAATTCCCAATTCCTCGCTACCTGTCTCCTTTTTTTTTTCTCCATCCATCGAAACCTTGGCAGGGGCTCGTAGGGAAATCAGATTATGGGGCAGGAGGGAGCAAGAGAAACACAATATTCCCTCAGCGGGAACGCACGTCTCTCCCCTGGCCGCCGCCCCAGCACTGAATAGGGTTTTCAGAGGCCCGGGTGTGGCACTATTGAAGCATGCGGCGGGGGCGAAGGCGCGGGCCCAGGCAGATAAGTGAGTTGAAATGGCACAGATGGCGGCACTTATCATGATGATGATGAATTTGCATTTGGGAAGGAGGAGGAGGAGGCGATATTGTGTCCAGTGGTGTCTCCAAAAGCGCTTTGAGCGGAGGACAAGCGCCATCAATCACCGCTCATAATAAAACCGGTGGCTGGATGAATAGAATGGCGGTGCGAGCAGACGCATACTGACAGTCGCCTTGCATCAGTGGGCCCGTATGGCCTTTCTCAGCTCTCTGGAATGTATCGAACTGAAAAGGTTGCTGCGTGGCGGGGGGGCGTACACCTACACATGTGAGCTCGCCCTGATGCACACACACACACACGCTTTAAAATTCAATTATAGGGCATTGAGGAATTAGAGAAGTTTAATTGGTTTTCTAAGTGGCCGGTTTTCAGAGATGAATAGAGCAGAGATTCAGAGAGACCAGCTTTTAATATCACTGCTTAATGAGGCACAAAGAAGCTGCCACTGACAGATCAATGTTTGATTGTGTCCCTCCCCACTCGTGTGTGTGTGAGTGTGTGTTTGTGTGGATCTACTTTGTGTGCCTCTCTCTCTGAAGCTGTGTGTATCTGCACAAACACATGTTCACCCTTCTTCTTAAGCACAGACATATGAGTGTCTGTTTTTGCCCCCAGAGTTAATTGAATTTCTCTCTAATTAACATTTTCAAATGCTAATCCATTCATCTTCCCTGCTTTGCTGAGTAGTGTGTGTTTGTGTGTGTGTGTGTGTGTGTCAGCCACATCCTTAATTAGTCTGAGACAACTTCCCATTGCAGCCAGCGAGACAAAGGATGTCCCTAAATCTTAGAAAAGCATTTGTTTCCTGCAAACGCAACAGATATATAAATTCCTATTTTAAAAAGTGTCCCTTAGAATGATAATGAGATTATTTTTGAAGATCTATTCTATAATCTATCTAATCTGTAAAATCATGTAACAGATCTCCTCATATGTGGTCAGAGGTTAATGTGCCTTCAATGCTCAGAGCAAACAGCAAGCTAACGAGCAAGCTAACGATCGTTTTAATTTCTGCATGAATATTTCAATAACTCTTGGAAATATATATCTTGGATTGTTCTAATGGAACTTATATGAGTCACTGCTCAAATTGCTGTCTTCTGGACGCCCCGGGACGGAGCAGAAATTGAAATGAAACCCACATAATTTCCCTTCTTTTGCGTGATTGATTGACCTTGTCTTCGTCCGACTTGTGTCTGGCTAGCGAGAGCGAAATCCGCCCATCTGGCTAACGGGCAAAAAAATGCTCGCAAAAAATTCATTGGAGGGAGATTTCAAATATGCTCTGAACCAGGTCTCCCGTTTAGTTGGTGGAGTGCCCAAATTCCTGTCTGCTCTCAAGAGGCTGGAAACAATCACAGAGGAGTTCCTGTCTGTCATTCCCATACTTAGGTAATGACAACCTTACTCCCGCTCCGTCTTTGTGCGATGAAGGGTCATTTTGTTGTCTTTCTTCAGGATTTCACAAGCTCCTAATCCCTGTCTCCCAATCACCTATAAATCCCCTTTGTTCCTGTGTGTCATCTTTCTTCATATCACCGCCCTCCCGTTCCCTCACTCTCTTCAACTTATTCTCTTCTCCATTTCTCTCTCTCTTTCTGCAGTAACATCTTTAAAGGCTCCGCGGTGTGTATGTACAACATGGCGGACATAAGGAGGGTGTTCCTGGGTCCCTACGCCCACAGAGATGGACCCACCTATCAGTGGGTGCCCTTCCAAGGGAGGGTGCCCTACCCTCGTCCTGGAACTGTGAGTTTCCACATGAACTGTCCACATTTCTAGAAAACTAAATACGCACAACACAGCTTCACATTCTTTTTGCCGTCTTTCTCAGTGTCCCAGTAAGACGTTCGGAGGTTTCGACTCCACCAAAGACCTTCCCGATGACGTCATTACTTTCGCCCGGGGCCACCCGGCCATGTACAACCCAGTTCACCCGATAGGGGGGCGTCCCATCATGGTGAGGACAGATGTGGACTACCAGTTCTCCCAGCTGGTGGTGGACAGAGTGGAGGCAGAGGACGGACAGTATGACGTCATGTTTATTGGCACAGGTACGCAGTCAAAGTACAGTACACTGCTTGAAGACTATATATACTACTGTATAATACTTTAAAGTGAATTAGGTTATATCCAATGAGATGTGAAAATTCTTCAGGAACTGTATTTTTTTCCTTGAAAACATCAAACGATAATATTTTGCAAAAGATATTTTTACAGTCAAGCAAATATACTAACAGAGGGCAGCAGCCACAGATTGTGTTGTTAATATGGAAGTGCATCTTTTTTATGCACACTCTGTTTGTCTTCCAGATATGGGAACAGTGCTGAAGGTGGTGACGATCCCCAGAGAGAGCTGGCACGACCTGGAGGAGGTGGTGTTGGAGGAGATGACGGTCTTTAGGGTACGACTTTGAACAAAGTGTGAAAAACATGTATGATGTTTAAAAATAGGCACCAATGTGATGTTTAACAGGCTGTGTTTGTTTTGTACAGGAGCCCACTACCATTACTGCCATGGAGCTGTCCACCAAGCAGGTAAAAACATATTTTAACACAATATAATTTACACAAAAAGTTGTTGACAAGGAAAGAAGCCCAAGAGAAGAAAAATAACTTATGGGCCTTAAAGAAAACACTGGTATCCAAAAGAAGCAAAGATGTCTAATGTGCCTAGGAGAAACAAACCCACAACCGCTTTCTTTTCATGAGAACGTTTCCAGGCGAGCCACACAGGAGCACTCAAGTTTTAAATCCTTGCTGTTTCTTTGGCTCCCACAGCAACAGCTGTACCTTGGCTCGTCCCTGGGTGTATCGCAGATGTCTCTGCACCGTTGCGAGGTGTATGGGAAAGCTTGCGCCGAGTGCTGCTTGGCCCGAGACCCGTACTGCGCCTGGGACGGCACCGAATGCTCAAGATACTTCCCCACCGCCAAGAGGTAGGAGGCACACACGCTCGCACATTAAACGCTTCTCCTCAGCCATTATTTGTGAGTTAAGCAGTGTTAGCCGAGCTCGTACGACTCTTCTCAGCAACATCCGGCCTTTTGTGTTAGCGCCTTCTCACGCAGTCGCACCTGGGAGTTATCAGTACACCTGCAGCGGGGCTGTTGCAATTGGCTCTAAAGACTTTTGCTCAAAGGCAATTTCAACACACAACCTGGTGCTGTAACCTCAGACCTCCACTCGCCTATTAGCAAGTGTACCCCAATCCAAAAAATGTACCCGGATACGCGCCAAAGCATCTAAACATGGAAGTAATCTGGAATAGGAATATTACACAGGCCCAAAATACCGTCATTAAACACACACACGCTGAGAACACTTTCCAAGAGGTAGAATTCAGCAGCCTGGGTTTTAACTCCTGTCAGAAACAGTTGCTGTGAGTTGTGCACCCATCAACTTACAGCAAAGAGGAACACACACACACACACACACACTCACACACACACTCTAAATTATAGCCAACAGGAGCTGTCTGACCGCTTCACCCTGCAGCCAGGAGGTATGAACATACACACCCTCAAATTACCCTCTGCTGTATCCAGCGGGATTAGCCCGACCACGACAGCCCTCACACACACACGCACACACACACACACACACACACACACACACACACACACACACACACTCCTCTGCTTCTCATTCATCCACAACTTCTCACACCAGCAGAAAGAGGCCAGTGGGTAAACGCCAGCTTGGCAGCGTTACAGAAGAGGTGGCACACCCCATGGTTAAGGGCCAGGCCCCGGCTTCTTTCGGCTCCCTCTCCTCTCCCTCTCCTCTCCCTCGCCCAATATGGGAACCAGACACCCGGCCCCGCACGTGCTCAGACGACCAAAAAGACAGGAATGTTGGGTCAGGAAATGTACAGAGAAGGAACCTTGTGTGTGAGAAAGAGACAGAGATGAGTTTCCAAATATGTATGGCATAGGGAAGTAAGGAAGTGAGGAAGGGAGGAGGGAGGTAGCCATATTTGGCGTGCAGGAGTCACACACACACACATGCACACATGGGCCATTTCACTTCATCTGTTTCTTTTTCACCTACAATGGTTCCCATCTTTATTTCCTCCTCAAAAGCTGTTACCTCACCTTTGGCTTACCCCTCCTCTCCCCTGCTTGATTTTTTTTTGTACGGTGTCCATCAGAAATATAAACCATGGCAACTAGAAACAGGGAAGATACAATGGCAGTTAGATTGATGTGAGTAAAGCCCAGCTGAAAAAAGCCCAATGGCACAGTGGACTCTCACGTCAGGAGGACAAAGAGCGCGCCTGCTTTTTGCGAGGAATTTCAAGGGCGAAACTAAACCGCATTGGTTTCAAAATCAGGACTCATCAGAAGGCAATGAGGCTCGGCTGTTTTATTGCCCCTGTAGGTTTATGTTTCTTAAATTCTGCCAGGCTTTGGATTTTATTTTTTCACCCATGTGATTTTACAGTAGAGTAAAGGTTGAGCAAATACACATTTTCTGTCCCTTTAATGAAAAGGAGGCAGAATGTGGAGTAGCGCTGGTCAACATTGCCCCCTAGTGGTTGCAGCCAAACAGCACAGCGAGCAGAACATGTGGCAAGTGCATTTCTGCTCTTTTCAGTTGAGGATGTGACTTAATTTATTTTTACTGTGTCCCCAGGCGAACCAGACGACAGGATATCAGAAACGGAGACCCTCTCTCCCAGTGCTCAGACCTCCAGCATCAAGGTAACGCCATGACTTCACACTTACACACACACCACTGGTCTCCTCTTCTTTCACACACACGTCCTAATCTCTTCTACCTGTGCGTGTTTCGGTTTTGAGCAGACGACGTGGACGGCGTAGGAGGCAGTGTGGAGGACAGGAGTGTGTTCGGTGTGGAGAACAGCAGCATGTTCCTGGAGTGCAGCCCCAAGTCTCAGAGAGCGCTCATCTACTGGCAGCTGCAGAAGCTCAACGACGACCGAAAGCACGAGGTAGGAAATGTTTAATCTTCATCTGGGTGATTGTAAGATTGGCACAGCCCAGTTCTGATGATAGTATCTATAATATCTCTTCCATGCTGATTAGATCCCTGCAGAAATCTATGATCCTATTGACCTTTAACCTTTGTGACCGAGGAGTGGAAACCTTAAGTTGTGAATGTTTAGATTGACTTTTGACCTTTTATGATATAAGAGAATTGTACCTATATTTGTGTAACCAGGCATTCAGGGTGAGTTGTTTTAAGAACAGGAGAGATTCAAACTTTTTTTACTGGATGACCCAAATTCTTCAACAAGGTGTTCCCATTCGAATAAATGATGTCACAGCAGTTTCTCATGCGATGCCGAACATAGCCTTAGCTTGAATGAACCAGTTCTTAACCCTACAGATTTGTGGACAGGGTCTATGGAAGCTTAAAAGTTTGTAGCCATTGACTTGTCATCAACATCATTTTGACTCGTCAAAACAGTCTTTAATTCTGTTTCAACCACTTAAAACTTCAACATCTGTAATTACATTCTGATCAGTAAGAGTTAAACTACTGTTGCCATTCATTGGTGTGTGCAAATATCTGCTATTTCTATCTTTAATTCCAGTTGTAGAATTGTAGAAACCAAATATTTATTTCTGTGTGTTTTAGATCAAGCTGGATGACAGAGTTCTTCGTACCGACCAGGGTCTGCTCATCCGCAGCCTCGCACAGTCCGACACAGGAATCTACCACTGCCAGGCCGTCGAGCACGGCTTCATTCAGCCCCTTCTCCGCCTCAACCTCCAGGTCATCCCCTCCCAGAAACTGGCCGACATCCTTCCAGGAATACCCGGAGCGGGAGGCGGCGTGGGTCAGTCCCCCAAGCACAGAGTGTGGTACAGAGATTTCCTCTCTCTGTTGGACCACCCAGACCTCAACAGCGTGGAGGAGTTCTGCGATCGAGTTTGGAAGAAGGAGCGCAAACAGAAGAAGCCGAAGACGCCCAATGGCAACGATCAGGGTAAAACTGACAGCGCTGCGTTACGGCCTAAAGCTACAGCTCCCAATGCTCAGAGGCAGCAGGCCAATCCACCGCAGAGCAGGCCATGGCTTCAGGCCGGAGCTCCGACAGTGGAAGGGCCGGTGCGGGGTCAGAATGCCCAGAAAGGTCAAACAAATCTGGGTATGGTGAGCGGCCAGGCGACGAGGAGCAACACGAAGACGCAAAACAGCCAGAAGGGGCAGGGCGGCCTGGCAGGCTCTCAAGCGGCGGGGGGGCAGCGGGCAAACAACCAGCACACCGCCAAGTGGAGACGGATGCAGGAAAATAAGAAGGGACGCAACAGGAGGACCCACGAGCTCCAAAGACCTCCGCGTAGTGTTTGAGATCAAGCACAGACACGCACACACGCAACCAGATCTACACACACAAGCACAAACCCATGCATCCACACATACTGTCAACACACAAACACGTTCTCGAGAGTGTTTTTCCAGTGTATGATTCAGTGACCTCTCCATGACAAGAACAAAAACACACACATCAGACACACAGTTTAGATAGAAGTCGAGCCGCACACACGAAACTACAATAACGCTCTCATTCAAAGACTCAAACCCACATAACCTTGGAAGAGGAGGATGAACGGAGGATGGAGAGACTGGAAAATACTGTAAATGTGTGAGCATGTGGCTGGTTGCCTGGGAGACTGTCTGGCGCACAGTTCAACCTCCTGTACATAAGCTACTAAAATAAGACGGGGACAGACTGAGGTGTTCGTCAGTGAAGCAGATGGACTTGACGCTGAGAGGACAGTCGCGTAGACGTTTATTAGACGCACGGACATTTACGGAAGCGGATACAATGTTTTCCGACCTGCTTCCCTCTTTGACCTGAGCATGTGAACTGCAAGATAGCATAAACAGACTCTTATTTTGAAAGGACTGCTTGAGGACAAAAAGATTCTTCTGTCTCGTCCGTACGAACAACAGCGCCCCCCACAGGAGGAAAAGGGAGGCGTGCAGTTCACCTCGACGTGTGCACAGCTTTGCACCGGTGGCCCACACTAAATAGAAGCGTTATAAACATGCAAAAACTGCAAAGTCATGCGGAGAAAGTGCTTCGTCGCAACCCACTCCACCTGAGGCATCGTGCATGTTGTCAATCAATGTTTTAATAAGCTAGTTATTTTATGGAGTTCTTGGGTCTTCTTTTTTTACTCCCTACCTGAAAAATGTTACTTTTATATTTTCTTTCCTTTCCAAACCAGTGGTTCTTTTTTTTTTTTTTGCAAAAACGAGCAACATAGCCGCCTCATCTTGCATTATCCCCCCCTCCCCTTCCGCCTCTGAGGATCCTGTGTAACTTATTACGTCTTTTCTGGGATTTCACGAATTCCGGTTGTCGGCGTAATACGTGAAAAGCCAGTCGGAAATAGACTGCCACTTGTTTTTTGTGTACATATATACAACAAACGTAACTCTCTGTGTATATACAGTACATATACAGTACGAGAACACCACTTGATAATTATTTATTGCTCATTGTTTTGTGAAAGGGTTGCATTTATTTTTGATATTATGGTATTTCTGGCTCATCAGTACATTGGAGAAACAACGGCAACATCGTCTACATGAACTTTGACGGACCAACTGAGTGAAATACATCACAGAGGGTTTGAAAGTGAATTAAGTAAAAGGGGTTTTGCGTCATTAACCGAATCCCGTCTTTAATAAGCACAATTTAGTCTCTTTTGCCATAACCAACGATTTTTTTACTTCGCTTTCCTTTCCCCACATCCACCAGACATGTCGTTCATGCATCGAGTCGCCATGATGTGTAAGATAATTCCCCGAATCTGAGAAAAACCTTAGCTGTGAATCTCTGTAAGAAATAGTGGAGAAAAATGTAAAATCTAGTCTGAGGAGAAGACACCTTATTACTGCATGTGAATGCTACCTACAGCAAGTGCATCTTTTTTAATCGTCTCTCTTTCTGTGTTTTGTGTGAGAGGTAAAGTTTCCTTAAAAGCAAAGTGTGAATTATACTTTTGCCAAAACAGTGATTAATAGCGATCCAAGACACTCCGGCCAAAGCCGTTCGAAATCCAACCTCAGTAATCTCCGATTCAAGCTGGTAACCCCTTCCCCTTGTCTTCCTTATCCCCTCAATACACGACAAGAGTATAAAGTGTCAATGCAATAAATTAGAGCGGATAGCGTTCTGTACCGGCACTCAAAAAGTTTGGTGTGTCCCTAATTTGGGTCTCTCCCTCAGAGTTAGAAAAAGCGAGAGAGCTGAGAGTTTCCGCTGCTGTAACACGGCTCTTTCTGGCATGCGTTCAGTTGTCTAAATAAACATCTCCGTTACAAAAAATACACGTTTCTCTGTTTTTATTTCAGTCACAAACTTTATGCCCAGAGCCTGTCTCACGGTCCTGGTTCTGTACCATCTGTGCTACGACCACTCAAACCGCTGCAGAAACTCGAGACGGTTCATTTTTATCGTGCTGCAAGAATCCATTCACATTTATTGTCTGTCTGTGCTGGAGGCAGAAAATCGCACAGATGGTTTATTCGAAACTTAGACCCACCTCACCCACCTGAGAATAAACAGAACAAACTGCTCAGATGTGCTCGTAGCTCTCGGCTGCTCTTAATAAATGTTTAATGTCATTTGCAAAAGGTTTTTTTTCTTCACAGGAGATATCTTGACTCGGAGCAGGAGAAGAACACATGTTAGGAATATCACCAACATTCAGTTTGTTCAGTGAAGAAGCACAAACAACAGCAGGAGCCTGAAAGTGCAGCAGGTAAATGGAATTCAGTCTCTGTTGATTTTTCCCGCGGCCAAGGAGGTAATGTTTTCACCCCTGTGTGTTGCTTTGTCTGATTGAACGCAACATCAGCTTAAAACTGCCGGACAGATTATCACGAAACTTGTTGAAAAGATGAAGCAGGAGTAAGATCAGAGGGAACACGCAGGAATATTTTTTTTTATTAACATGTTCCTAATAATTGATCTTGATAAAAAGAATCATAGGGGGACATTTAGGGGACAGATATTTATGAGTGTGAGCAATTTGACAGAGTGGGACAGAGTGCCATTCTTGTTTTTATTTTATTGTTTTGTTTGTCACATTTGCCCAACAATCTCCTTAAATTCCTCAAGATACATATAAACCCACAATGCCAGCTTCACATTTCTGGTAGTTACAGGTTTGTAACCCTGTGAAATAGCAACATTTAAATCTGCTAGATCCAGATTTTATTTGTATATAAGATTTTTCATCAAACTCCATGAATTATTTCCTGAAAAATAGATGAAAATGTCTAAAAAGTACTAAATTATCTCACGATATTAAAGACAGTTAAAACTTCATGGATCCACACCTTTGTCCATGTCCACCCCAATTTTTAATGGGTTCAGTATCACATCCTCTCAGTAGTTTCATGGAAATTCACTCTGTAGTTTCTGCGTAATCCTGCTGAAAAACAAACGGGTGCAAACTCGAGCCAAAGGTGGGATGTTGGTTGTTATAGAATATGATGATTCTCCTGCAGAGCCACTAGAGGGTGCTGTTGTCTCGCTCCCTGTGCGGCCTTGCTTCCTGTCAGAGCCAATCAGAGGCCTCGAGGCTGCAGCATCAGAACGTGCAGTGTGTTCCCTTTTTTTATTTTTTTTATAACAGAAATCTCTTGCCTCCACACTCCAGACAAAATATTCTCTTAAAGCGACACTTCCTTGCTTCCTGGTTGGTCCTGTTGCCATGGCGACTGTCCTTGAATGTCCTGTGTTCCGCACACACACTCGGTGTGTATGAGTGTGTGTCAGTCTGATGCACGAGGAAGAAAGAAGCCGTCCTGACCATTATGGTGGAGGAGGGTGTTATCACTGTGTGCTCTGCCTTAGGGAGCTTCACTGTCTCCACAGACAAATTCTGTTTGCATCAACATGTTATATTTTACCAGCAGAGTCATGTCAGACATTTTATTTTTTACTCAGCAACAGACAAGATATAAAGAGAATTCATAAAGGCTCATTGAAGACAGTGAAGCCGTTACTTCAAATGATTCTGTGCATTATTTATTCATGTTTTTACCTCAGCTTTCAGAATCTATGACGGAGTGTCTGATGATGGAATCATTCAGGAAACATACATGTGAAAAGAATAAAGCTGTAGAAACAACATTTTTATGTCACAGTTAATCAGAAGAGAATAAGATAATCTAATAATTTCCTTTGCATCGGAGAAAAGTGAATAATTGAAAACAGTCCTGCACACTCTGTGATTTGTATTTGCGATGTTTGGGTACCAGATCTTTATCAGGTAACCCATGGACAAGGATGTTAAAATGTCAGTATTATATATACTTTATATATCTGTGTTTGGTTGAAAACACATGGTGACAAGCAAAAATCTGATATGAAATTAACTTTTCATTTTCAGTTGGTCAGATAATATTTCACCATAAACTTAAACACAAACTAATCTTTTGCATTGAAATTAAATCAATATTTCAATGCGTATTAAATTGGAATTAAATGAAGAAGCCAGTTCACATCTCAGAGCACATCAGTCCGAGTGTGTGTGTGTGTGTGTGTGTGTGTGTGT